AGTGTATTACTTACTTTCTCATCCCTTAGACACAATACCTGACAATCACAACATAAAGGAAGAAAGATTTATTTTAGGTCTTTTTTTTTTCCTGTTTTTTATTTTTTTGAGAGGAGGTCTCCATATATAGTTCAGGCAGCCCTTGAACTCACTATGTAGCCCAGGTTGGTCTCAAACTTGTAGCGATCCTCCCACCTCAGCCTCCAGAATGACGGGATTACAGGTGTACATTACCATGCCCAGTTTGGATCACTTTTGTGGAGGTTTCAATTCATAGCCAATTGGTTCCAAGGCAGGGGTAACATGGCAGAGGGGCATGGCAGGGGAGAGCTGCATATGGCATGGCAGTCAGGAAGCAGAGACAAGAGTCAAGGGAGAAGGGAGGGAGATACATACTTCTAGGCTATGCTCCCAGCAACCCTCTCCTCCCATCAAGTCCTACCTCCAAAATCATATTAGTTATAAATTCATCAATGGACTAATTCACACTGATGAATCACAGCCACATGATCCAACCCACCACCAAAAGCCCCACCTATGAGCACATGAGGCACGGCAGTGGAGATATCTTGATATAAACCCTAACATTCTACTCCTACCCCCAAAGACTCATATGTATCTCTTTATGCAAAGGGCATTTAGTCTATCCATGAGAGCTGCAAAAGTCTTAATGGTTTCAGCACTGCTGAAAAATTTAAGTCCCAAGTCTCTGGGATTTAAGGCAAACTTTCAGTGGTAAGCGCCTGTAAAAATCAAAAGAAATTTAAACACTGCCTACATTTAAAGAGACACGGCAAGCATTATCATTCCAAAAGAAGGAAGTTGGAGGATAAAAAGGGATAGGAACAGAAAAAGATCAAGACCCAGCAGGAAAACATTAATCTCTATAGTTCCATGTCCAGCAGCTGGGGTAATCTGTGGCAAGTCAGGAACTCCACAGGGATTTGATGGCTCAATCCCTACAGCACGACTAGTGGTTGCAGCTCTTGTGGCTTTTCTTTTGAGCCCAATTTGCTCACTCCTGTGGCTTTCATCAGATCACCCATGTTCCTGGCTTCTCAAACCTTTAGGAGTCTCCATTGCTCTTTCCACTTTGCACTCACGGGTTCACACACTGCCCTCTCAGGGGCACCCTGCTACTTCTGAAATCTGGGTGGAACCCTTCCTGATTCTAAAATTCTTGCATTCTTCATGCGTGTAAAACCAGCACCACACCCAAATCTGCCACTGGCAGGAGTGATAGCTGAGCCCTTTTGTATCTTGCTAATGGTGGCAGAGGCCTCTGAGTGCCTGGCTGGCTGAGCGTGGTGAACTGAATCACAGGAATCGATTCCCACTTCCCAGGTTGCCACCATTCTGGAGTGTGGTGCCCTGGAGTTCTCTTCTCAAAGCAAAGTCTTTCAATTTTCCACCTTTGAGTCTGTGAAGGGTAAGGTCCTTCAGGGTTCCTCCCATCCCCTCAAGGTACCTTTTGCATTGTCCAGTTCCAAAGTACTTGGTTTCTTTTTAATGGTAGTATTTTCAGCAACCAAGCTCTCCTCTGCTCTTTTACAGGCCCTAGCTTTCCTGGGGGTTCCTTTCTGGCCAAACTTGAAACTTTTTAAGAATCATTTTGTTGGGCCATTTGCTTTTGATTCTCAACACTGAGCTGGCTAAAAGCCCTCATCAGTACCCAAGCCACAGCCTGAATGTTGGGCCACCTTGAAACTTCCTCTGCTCACTGCCCTTAATCTCAGTCTCTCAAAAAAAAATCTCAGGACAGGAACAAAATATGGACAAATTTTCTGCCAAAGCATAACACACATGGCCTGGAGTCCAACATCCCATGAAGTTCTTGTTCCCAACTGAAACTTCCTGAGCCTGGTCTACACAGCCTGTATTTCTATCAGCATTCTGGTATTTTGAGCTCTGACTGGAATCTCCCGTCAAGCTCAGCTTATAGCATTCTAGGGCTGCTTCTCTAGCCAGTGTCCTGAATCTTTTCAAACTCCTCCTGCCAACTGCTTTGAAAGATTTCTGAACCACGTGGTTTGTGACAGCAATGACCCCACTTTTCTGGTATCAAAATCTGTCTTAGCTACTTTCTCATCACTGAGATACAATACCTGAGACCCACAACTTAAAGGAGAAAAGACTTATTTCAGCTCACAGTTTGTAGACGCTTCTGTCCATAGTTGGCTGGCTCCAAATCAGGGCAGCCTGGCAGAGGAGAAACAGTTCATGGCATGGCAGCAGGAAGTGGAGACGGGGTGAAGGGAGCAGGGAGGGAGATGTACCCTTCTAGGCCACACACCCAGTGACCCACCTCCTCCCACCAGGCTTCCCCCTCCAAGGACACATTTAGCTGTGAACTCATCAGTGGACCAATCCACACTGATGTGTATCACACCCACATGATCCAATCACCTCCTGAAAGCCCCACCTATGAGCACATGAGCAGTAGCAGTGAGGACATCTGGACCTAAACTATAACAGTCAGTTATACTAGTGTTAATGATCAGTCAGGGAATCGTTTGGTGCAATAAAATACAGAAAAAAATACATTATCTCTTACAAAGCAGGTAAAATCGACAGTGCCTAGAAACTCTGAGAAAACTAGCTGAAAATCCTGAAAATACATAATAATATACAAGGTAAATACATAAAATTAAGTAAATTCCACTTATACTACCCATAAATAATAATAATACTATAATATGAGCCTAATAGGACCACAAGAAAGGAGCAAAAACAAATGCATTGTAATAGTAACAAGAAATGCCCGAAAGGAGAAAGAACAAAACTCTGATAGAAATGGAAAGAGACTCTTAAAATTTGTTACTTTAAGAATGTCCAGTTTCCCCCAAATTAATTTTTAGATTTGATGTAATTCTTTAAGAATGTATTCATTTGTTCTTTTTTAAAAAACAGATCTTCAATGAGAAGGGAAATAGGCATGAACACCTAAAACAATTTGTTTAAAAAGAGTAATGATGGAAATGGAGGGGAATCATCCTGCCAGTTTATAAAATTTACTGTGAATCTGCCATATCTAAAGTAGTTCTTACTGGAAAAAAATTGCAATAAAAGTTTTAATTCTCCATAAAAAAGGAATATATGTAAGTTCAATAAGCAGTGAATTAGTCATCACAAATCAGTGAAAATAAGTATTCAGTAACTGGTACTGGAACAATTCATCTTTAATTGGGAGAAAAATGTTCATTCTAAATTCTAACTTCACACATGTTTTTGGTTTGTGTGTGTGTGTGATTTTTCTGTGTGAAAAAATCCAATCAAAATTCTAACTTCACACATTTTTCTTTTTTGCTTATGTTTTTGTTTTCACACAAAAAACCAAAAACATAAACACCAAAGGGGGAATGTGTGTGTGTGTGCTTCTGAATGGAGACATACTTTGGAGGAGTGGAGTTTACTGGGGTTGGAACCCAGGGGTGCTCTACCACTGAGCTACAACCCCACCCCTTTTTAGTCTCTGTAGAGGGGGAGACCAGAGATCAAACTCAGAATCTTGTGCTTGTGAGACAGGCACGGTGCCCCTGAGTTACATCCCCAGCCCTTAGTCTTTTATTTTGAGACAGGGTCTCACTAAGTTACCTAGCCTGGTGTTGAATGTACATTCTTTTTGCCTCAGTCTCTTGAGTACCTGGGATGATAGAAAGGCATCCAACTATTACATATAAAAATTTTAAATTGTCCATCAAAAATGGAAATAAGAGACACACTGGTGGAATATTTTGCAGCAAACATGACAGTCAAGAAGATAATGAGACACTTCATTATAAAATTAAATGCAAAGTTTTACATACGAGAAAATGTTCAACTGTACAACAAAATACAAATAAGTAGTAATAATGTATCATTTCAGCTATCTTAAATATGACCAAACCATGAGCAATATGAGAAAAATGACTAAACTTCACTGAAATTTAAAATGTGCACTTTCTACACTGTTAAAAAGTGAGAAGACAGATCACAGACTCAGAGAAAAGATTTATAAAATCGCATATCAAATAAGGGGCTACTTGGATCCAGAATATATAAAACTCAATAATAAAAATACAAATCGACCAGCTTAACAATGGACTAAAGATTTAAATAGGTATTCCACCAAAGAAGTTGTGAAGAACATTAAAGCATGAAAATATCCTCGAGAATATAAATTATTAGCAGGACAGAGATCAAAACCACAACGCATATGAATGACTACAATAATAAGACAGATTACAAGTCCTGGCAATGCTGTGGAGACCTTGAACTCATACACTGCTGACAGGGATATAAGATGGCGCCACCACTTAGGGAGACGACTTTCCAGTCACTTAAAATGTTAAGCACAAATTTATCATATGATCCAGGAATTCTGCTGGAAGTCTGCTCACTGGGGCTGGAGATGAAGGGGATATTTTCTTGCATTCATTGTCAAAAGGGAAGCCCTAGCCCCTGAGCCTGATGTGGAATTAACTTTTTCTACTAACTTCTCCAATGCCGTATCCACGCAGTAAGATGGACGCTTCTGGAAGTTTGTGACGTGGCTCTTGGCCCGAAGAGGGCGAGAAGAGTTCTCTGTTACAGGGGATGTTGCCACACACAGATCCGACAGGATACGTAAAGAAAGAAGCGGTTGATGAGAAACTCTGAAGGCACACTCTGGCAAGAAACCTGGCCAGAGGGCTCTACCTCAGGAGGGGAGAGCGCACTCTTCAGAGAAGGAAGGAAGGAGAACGGTACTTCCGGAGATGACAGTGGAGGGAACGCTGAAGAAAATGTGAATTCATTTTCTTCTGCAGAAGGAGCTAGGCTCGGGGAGTAAGAGGCAAGCAGAGGAACGCTGTAGGAATGGGGAGGTAGGAAGGGTAGCCAAAGGCTCACGATAATGCGAGGCTGAAAAAAGGATCAAAGAAAGAGTGCAGAGACAGATCAGAGGTCTAGAATCGGATGGAATCCCCTGAGTGGGCTGTGACCAAGGAAGAGGGAGGATGGATCACAAGGAGGCTCCGCACAGGGGCTCCTGCAGGGCACTGCCTTGGCGAGGAGAGAGAAGTCCTGCACAATTTCAGGCTCTTTGTCAGGCTGAGGCCCCTGCTTCGGTCCCTCCAGGGCCTGGAGATTCCTGGTCCACAGGGGACTAAGCTGCACGAGACGCGCCCTCAGTGGGAATGCGCAGATGTCCGAGACGACACGGGGATGCAGGACAGACGGCGACTACAACAGGAAGAAGATCACAGCGTGGGCTCACTCCTACAGAAGGAACAGTAGAGGAGAGGCCAAAGGGAAGGTGCCCGGAAGAGACTTTGCTCCTTGGGGGAAAGTGAGAGGGCAGAAGCAGTGACCAACTAGTGACCTTTGGAGTCAAATAGTGTGGGAGAGCAAAGGGAGCGCTGCTGCAGATGATCGCTGTCAGCGGGCCACCTGGGGAGTGACCGTCTTTAATGCCAGAATGAATGGAACGCTCCTTCTGTAGAAGTTGCAAGATGTTGCCCATTAGGTTGGTAAGTTTAGCAGAGATGGTGAAGAGAAAAATTCCCCTGGAGCAGGAAAAACTAAATCCTATAAAAGAGAAGATGACTGAGAAGGAACCTTGGCCAGAGAGTAGTGCAGTGTGGTTTTGAGAAGCAGGAAAACAGAAAACTGAGGGAGTGAAGACAGGGGCTTGTAGATTAGAAAGAATGAAGGAGTAGAATGAAAATTCAAACTAAAGTAAAGGGCCAGCCTTACCCCTCCAAAGGCACAGGCAATGCGAGTGGGAGGCAGCGATAAGAGAGAAGAGGGCAGAAAAATAGGGCCCAACGGAAACCAAGTGAACATTCCTTCGGGTAGTGCAGGAAGAGAGGCAGCTGTTGATGCCAAGGCCAGGTAACAATCAAAGAAAGGCTGAGTCGCCAGTGTTGTCATAAATGAGGGCGAAACAGCTGCTGTGCTGTCCCCTGCCAAGGCAGCCGACCTGAGTCTCGTCACCTGTCCACACTGCACTTTGCCTGGCTCAGGGACTCGCCAGAGTCACAGGCAGAAGGTGGGCCACTCTCCGAGACTCACACAGTCCCCACCTCTGCGTGTGCCTGACTCACCCCAGCCCCTGCCCACCCCCAGCCAGTGATGTTTGCAAATCTCACTGGGTGCTCAGTCAATCAGCCGGGAGAGGCGCACCTGAGCAGCTGAGGTGGGGTCTAAAGTTACACAATTTGGGGAGTCCGCCTTAAAAAAAACAACACAAAACTATAAACGCAGCATTAGATATAAACACACAATTAGAGAGACTGTGTGAAAAAGAATGAAAAAAATGAAATAATGAAAAATTCCAAATATTATCACGTTATCACGTTTGCCTCACAAATATTAAAGAGGACAAGTTTAATCATCACAAAATCATAAGGAAGTAGCATAACACAATAATAAATTAATCATGTGGCAATTATTGTGTCCTTATAGTAGGCAGAACACTGCCCCCCAAGGATGCCTGCATCCTGACCCCTAGAACCTGTGATGTTTCCTCATACGGGAAAAGGGTCTTGACCAATGAGATGAGGGCACAGACCAGGAGAGAGACGTGTGCTGAGTTATCCACACAGGCTCAACTTAGTCCCACGGGTTTTAAAGTTAGAGAAACTCTCCTGGGGTTGGTGAGAGAAAGAGATGTGACACGGAAAGGAGCCAGGTGATATGCAGATGGCTTTGAAGAGGCTGTGAGCTGAGGAAGGCAGTGGCACCCAGAATCTGGAAATTAGGAAATGATCCTCCTCAGAGCCTTCGGAAGTAAGCACCTTTGGGAGCTTGGCAATTTTGGGACTGCTTGGCTCATAGGGGACCACGTCCTGCCTCTCCAGCACTGTTACTAACCTTGCCAAATGGAAGCACTGAGGCCACTCCTTTTATTCCTGGCAAAACTGAAGGGAAATGAAGGGACTTCAGTGGGAGGAGTTGGGTGGACAGCAAGTGGGTTAGACAAGAGGCCATCCAATAACCTCTTTAGGACAGATCAGGGAAAGCTTTTGATAGACAGAAGTGTAACTTCTCCCTCATCAGAAGAGGACAGTCGCATTGGGTAAACTGTCAACATTTGTAGGGCAACTGTGGGGAGAACAAATGTTACCCATGAGTGGCCGCAGCACCTGTCTCTGAGAAGACTCTTCCCAACACTGTCCAACCTGCCCTCACGGGAGGGGGCTGCTCTGCAGGCCCAGCCCTCACAGCTTTCCCAGGGGCTCCTGGGTGGGCCAGGCATGAGGAACTAAAGAAGGGGTCTGAGGGATCTGTGATTGCTGTCCCACGGGGAAAAGCCATCCCCTGACCCATTTCTGTCCTCTCCTAGTGAGCCTGGATGTCGCATACACACACACAAGGACAGATGAAAGCCAGCTGGCCGACTCCTGACTCGGGGTTCCCGTAGTCAAAAACGGGATGAGTTACAAGTTGTTTCCTTCCTACCAAAGCAGCCATCACAGCAAGGCGGAAGTTGGTGTGAAATGGGCCCTGAAGTGTGCTCGGGCACGCAGGGCCGCCCCGGCTAACATTCTCTATGTGTTCATCTGGAATGAGGACCGCTTGCTGAAACCAGAAGACATGATTTCGTCTGCTGTGTGGTGCAGGGCTGTTTGCAGGGGACAAGTGGATTATTTTTATCTCTAAATGTTTGATCATGTCTCCAGAGAGGTTGTGGGATCTGGAGAATTGCATAGAAGAGACCACTTATTTTGATGACAGGAACACCATACATATTTTTTAATTAAAGGGACACCACCTGCCAATAAGCACCTCAAAATATGTCCAACATCCCTAATTATTAGAAAAATACAAAGCAAGAGCACCACAAGGATATCATCTCACTGCATCAGGATGGCACCTATCACAAAACTAGTGAATAATAATAGGTGTCAGCAATGGTGTAGGAAAAGTGTACTTGTGCTCTGCTGGTGAGAGTATAAAATGCTGTTGCCACTATAGAAAATGGTACGGCAGTTCCTCAAAAAACTGAAAATGAAACTATTATATGATCCAATACCACTTCAAGGTAATATATATATAGATATATATATCTATATATATATCCAAAAAAATCAAGTCGGGGCCTTGGAGAGAAATTTGTACAGCCACAGCAGCGTTATTCACAATGGCTGAGGAAGGGTGGAGCAATGCAAGTGTCTTCCTGCCACTGAATGGGTAAAGAAAATAGGATGAATGGAATGCAATATGGTTTAGCCTTGAAAGGAAGTAAATTCTATAAGTGACAGCATATGAAATAAGCTAAATGAAAGAAGCCAATTTCAAAAAGACAAATAATACATGATTTTACTGATAGAAATGTAGTCCAACTCACAGACACATTAGAGCAAAAGTTGGCAAGGGAAGGGGAAGGGGAGTTTTTGTTGAATGAGTAGAGTTTCAGTTCGACAAGTTGAAAAAAAAACTCTGCATTTAAAGACCCTCAGGGTGATACAATTTTGTTATTATTTAAATGAAGGAGAACATGCCTAAGTGAATGTGGTTAAATGTCTAAAGAATGTTTAAAGGCCAGGCAGAATACTAAGCTTGTTTGTGTGTCTAATATCTCAGTCCTGCCATGTGCACAGTGGCTGCGGGCTCTCAGAGAGGAGGCGACTCAGGGAAGCCCAGGACCAGGAAGAGGAGAGAGGAGCAGAAGCTTCAGAAATAGCAATGGGTTAAAAACACCTGCAGTAAGGAATATACAGATAGGTCAGTTCAGCCACACGGATCATGAATGGCCTGAGTCTTGAAGTAAGAGTTGAATCCCTAGGAGACCAGGGTTTGGGCAGTGAAGAGTTTTGTCCTCCTTCTGGCCCATGTATGACTCACAACTCCCGTGAGTCACCAAGAATCTGTGATCATAATCTCAGAGAGTGATTTTGCAGGTGAGGTCCCTCCTTCCCCTGCACCAGTACAGTACTGGAGATTGAACCCAAGAATTTTGCACTGAGCTACATCCCAAGTCCTTTATTATCTTTTGTTTTGAGACAGGGTATCACTAAATCCCTAAGTTGCCCAGGCTGGGCTTGAACTCATAACCCTCCTACCTCAGCCTCCTAGTGTACTGGGATTCCAGGCACACCTAGCTATGGCAAGCTTCTTAAAATGAAAATTCCGAATCAGTAGGCTGGGGGCTTGGGATCCCGCTTTTTTTTTTTTTGGTACCAAGGATTGAACTCAGGACCTTGTGCTTGCCAGGCAGGCGGTGGCACCATTGAGCTACATTTCTGGGCCTGGAAATGAAACAACGGAAACAAAGTCTTTGCAAATAGGAAAGGGAGGAGGGGGTGAAAGGAGGGCACGAACAAGGGGAAAAAATGAGAACCAAGACCTGTCATGTAAAGGTACAGGATCCCAATGATGAATGTAACTGTTCTGTATACCTAAAATGCACCAAAAAACTCAATAAGAAAAAAAAAAAAAATCACTGGCCCGGATTCTGCATTTTGGACCGGGCCGGGGATGGTGAGGGTGTTTTCCCACAGTTCACATTCACAGTAGCAAGGGTCTGAAAAATCCAGCTAATCAGACAGGAAATTGGCTATGCCCGAGAACAGTGTGACAGACAAGATGGTGGTGTTCCGTCCCTACAGCGCAGAGGAAGTCATCAGACTGACGTGGAGAAGTCTTGCGTGATGAGCTGGGTTTTGTGGCGAGACAGCCTCCGCCCAAGAGGCGTGGGGCGCATGCGCAGTTCCCTTTCGTCCTCATGAGTCACATCTGAAAGCTCTGCACCCAGGTCACTGAGATCGCAGGAAGCAGAGCGTGGGCAGCTTGGAGCTGAAGCAGCATCCTCTACGTGAAGGGAAGGATGGCAAGATAACCCTGATCTCAGGGAAAGAAATGGCAGAGGCGTCAGGAGTGTGTGTGTGTGTGTGTGTGTGTGTGTGTGTGTGCTCGCGCACGCGCGCTCGCTGTACACATATACTGCCAACAACATGTTGGCTTTGCCTAGTAGAGGAAAAAGATGGATACATCTGTTAACTCACATTTACACCGGATTTCAAAACCATGACCTGGCATGATGGTGCTTGCGAGGCAGGCAAGGCAGGACCACCAGGGCAGCAGGGAGCTTTCTGTTTCTTGCCTCTTCGACAAATGAGGGAAATGGGAGCTCTGAGATGATGAGCTTCTGAGAGAAGCGATAAATGACAGACTGCTTTTTCCTCATTTGTGCTTCTTCCCTCGGTGTAAATAAGATATGCTGTGTAAGTTAAATTTCGATCACAAAATTTATGGGGTAAAATGAGATCGCAGATTTAATGTTCTTTCAGAATGGTTCAGCACTGTGAACAAAACTCTCTTCTTTGGTGGCCGCGGCCTGGCCCAAGTCTCTGAGGAAAGGCAGATGGGGGGAGTCAAGTTTCACTGAATTCAGGTAAGAGGTTGGCTGCTACCTTCAGAAAGCTATAAACAGAAGCTGGCCTTTGGGCTCCCTGAGACTCCGTCATCAGAGCGCAGGGGTCAGAGGGTTTGTTACCCTGCCTGGACCTGGGTGGGTGGCAGCTGGTGGCAGCTCCAAAGTACACTCTGCACCCCTCTGCAATATTTAACAGGGCACAGTGACCTCTGGTTTACCTGCCTTTTTCTTACCAGTTGTGGGTAGAGTGCTGTTATTGCTTTCAGGTTTTATACTTTGATTCCTTGTTTGGAATTCATACGGCCAGGAGAATTATGAGGAATATGAATGTGTTGCTTTCTCTCCAGTTTCAACTGGAAACTCAGCTTATTTCCCTGTCTCATACACACTGATGGGGGCTGACAGGTAGGTGGGTGAGCAGGTGGCAGCAACAGGATGCTCCTCCCAGTCTCGTTTCACACCACCAAAAGTGTGAAGGGGCCCCTCACACATCCCACATGTCCTGCACCGGCAGCAGGGTGTGAGAACAACATTCAGACAACACAGTGTACAGAGCACAGCAACCACACCAAGTCTGAATTCAGGCAAGTTTGGTGGTACGAACCTGTAATTTCAGCATACTGGGAGGCTGAGGCATGAGGGCTGCAAATTCAAGTCCAGCCTGGGCAATTTAACAACCTAGCCAGACCCTGTCTCAGATAAAAAATGAAAAAGGGGCTGGGCATGTGGCTGAGTGTGAACATGCACACGCACACACACACACACACACACACACACACACACAATCTGACTTTGTTTTCTTCCCATCCCCCTCATTGGTCAGTGTTCCTTTTAGTGGGAAAGTCCTGTATCAGTCTTTCCAGGGTCCTAGTGACTGCTGAGATGTTCCTGCTTCCATGACACTGGAAGCCGCTATCTAAGATGGGATATTTGCTGTGAAAATAAAGGAGACCATAAATAAAGAGAGAAATAAAGGACAGGTAATAGGAAGTAGGAAGATAGATCTTTTTCAAAGGGGAAGGGGACCAAGAGATGGCAGGAGGGGAAAAGAGGGCAAAGGAAAGAGATGAGGAAAAGAATTAAGATGTGTTGGGCTGGGGATTTAGCTCAGTGGTTTCATTGCCTGCCTTGCAAGCACAGGGAACAGAGTTCCATCCCCCTCCCAAAAGAGAATTAAGATGTGTTATGTACATGGACCAACTCTGTGAGTAATGTACTCATTATATGCTGTAACCATGTACTAATACAGAAAAGGATCTGAAGAAAACAAAAAGTTCTCCCTAAAATATTAAGAATTGCCGAGCTGAAGACATTTACACCTTGGAGATTCTCTGCTCTTCCTTTGTCTAAAAACAGGACACAAAATTAATCAGATAAGGAGTTTTGTATCTCTCCTCCCCCTTCCCACCTAAGGCAAGAGTGAAAATCCTCCTTTGCTGGTGACCACTTTGTATCAGTTCAGAGACACCAATAGGGTGGGACAAATCTGGGAATAGACTCTCGCCTCCCCATTTTCCCACCTTTGCAAGTGTCAAATTGTTTGTACCTTTGTCTTGTTGCTGCTCTAAGATTTTATAGTTCTCCCTTAAAATAGTCACTGAGCCACTGCCTTGAGAGTTACTTTCCAGAGAGATTTGCTTTCCTACAGTGAGGTGTGTGCTACTGTGTTAACAGACTTGCTTGTTTTCCTCCTGTTAACCTGCCTTTTGTCAAAGCATCCCAACTATGAACTCACAAAGGCTGAGGAAAAATCGCCCTTGCCAGGCGTGGTGGTGCATGCCTGTAATCCCAGCACTCGGGAGGCTGAGGCAGGAGGATCACTATGAGTTCAAGACCAGCCTGGGCTACAAAGTGAGTTCCAGGTCAGTCTCAACTACTTAGTGAGACCCTGTCTCAAAAACCAACAACAACAACAAAAATCCATTCTTTTTCTCTCCTTCAAAAATAAGATGAGGAAATTAATACATACAGAAAAGTTTTTAATAAAACTTGATAAACATTCATGATTTAAAAATTCTTCATTAGCCATAAAGAAGAGAACTTCCTTAACTTGGTACAAGATAGATACCGAAAACTTTTACAGTGTATCTTATTAGAAAATAAATCATTCTTACTAGAATAATTCTCATTAGAAGTAAAAGGACTCAACTACTGTGAGACCCTGTCTCAAAAACCAACAACAACAACAAAAATCCATTCTTTTTCTCTCCTTCAAAAATAAGATGAGGAAATTAATACATACAGAAAAGTTTTTAATAAAACTTGATAAACATTCATGATTTAAAAATTCTTCATTAGCCATAAAGAAGAGAACTTCCTTAACTTGGTACAAGATAGATACCGAAAACTTTTACAGTGTATCTTATTAGAAAATAAATCATTCTTACTAGAATAATTCTCATTAGAAGTAAAAGGTAGAGTTGTTTTATTGTTGGTACTCAGATGGGAAAGCATTTAGAGAAAATCCTGCAGAAAATTTATACCTAAGAATACCAGATAATGAAAAAAAATAATTTTAAAAGTTTAAAATGTGGAAATGAACTGGTAGGAAAGTAAGGGAGTTCTCTAGAGGCCAAAAGGTACCAGATACATGGAGTCAGAGAAGTTAGAAAGGGAAGGCACAGATTGTCTTGGAGTTGTCTCTTTGTAGCACCTGGTACCCTGGGAGGACACAGGACAAAGTCTGGAGCCTAACAGCAAGGGCAAGAGGTCATATCATAGACGTGGCACAAATCAGGACACCCTAAGGACAATGTTCATGGAAGGAGACAGTCGTTCATGGTCTTCCCAGGTTCGGCTGTGAATGAAGCAGGAAGAAAATGTTCCTTTGGAAGTTCCTAACAAGAAGCCAATTATTAGACAGGCTTGAGTTAAAATTTATATCACTTGTGTGTCTGGTAAACCCCGAGTTCATAGTGGTTCCAGTTGGTACTCTCCCCAGGCTCCCGGCAAAAGCATATATAAATCCTCTGGAGAAAACCAGTTTCAACCTCAACCTCAAAGAACCCTACAGAAAAGCTTCCAGGAAATATAAGTTCACAGTATGAAATGAAAATGGATTAAAATTAGGAAGGTGAAAAGAATGCCCAGGATGTCTAAGCTTTTGTGAATAATATTCCCCAGAATTGTGCAGCCTACACCTTGCACCGCTGTGTGCATCAGCCCTGAGACTATTTTCTGTCTGGCTGTGGCTCAAGGGGCGAGGAAAGGGAGTAAGATGAAAAACATTTAAGCTGTGTCAGAAAAGAAAGAACAAAACACTCACTGTATATACATAACATGGTTCTCTAAAAACTACAAAAGAGTGAACTGATTCATATTTACAGCTATTAAGAGAATTCAGTAAGCAAACCAGATAAAATACTTTTTAAAAAGTAGATTTCCTATATACCAGGAAAAAAATCAATTAGAAAAGAGAAGAGTCACAGCAAAAATTGACTTAGGAAGAATGAATAAACACAACAAAACTGGACATGTGGAAGTGGCAATGACTACGTGATAGAGGTACCATTTCAAATAAATAGAAAAAAGATGATTTTTTTCAATAAATGCTATTGGAATAATTTGTTGAAACATATTCCAGGGGGACAAAAAAGTTATTTTAAAAGGTATAACAGTATTACAAGTATATCAGATACCTTTATAATCTTAAAGGGTGAGAAAGCTTTCTTACATAAGCCTCAAAGAGGAAAACATACAAAGGATAAAGTTGATAAATTCAACCACATCAAGATAACAGCAAATACAACAGTAAAATCTTTTGTAACCTGAAAATATGACATAAAGTTTAAAAAGAAGGGACAGAGGGAATATGTACTATACATGATCAAAGAACTAGCATCAAATAAGTAACAAACTCCTACAAATGAGTAAACACTGAATATAAAAGGATCTAAGGGTATGGTTGGGCAATGTAAAAAAGAGAAATACAATGGCCTAGAATTGAGTAATAAGGGTGTTCTACCTTCCCTAATCATGGAAATTAAAATATTAATGGATGATCACATCTACCAGAATGGAAATGGTTAAGTGAAGCATTGCGCACAGTGAAATGTTACATAGCAGTTGAAATAAATGAGGCAGAGCTCTAGAAGAGTAATGGGAAGTCTCCAAGTCTGTGAAAGAGTGGAAAAGCAGAATGAGAGCAAGTAATAAATGCATGTATCATACGAATATGTGTATCTGGATGGGTACCGAATAGCCTGGCAATACATGCATCATTCTAGCCACTTTATGGGAAGCACAGGACCAGGGTCGGCAGGATGTTCAAAGGAGAATTTACCTATATCTATACAGCCTTTTTTATTCTGTAAGAAGCATCAGAACATGTAATCATGTATAATTTTATAACTTAAAAAGTGATTACCTACAAAAAATAGCTTAGCCAGTTTTGTGATTGTCTGTTATGTTTATTCCACAATAGTTCAGGATCAAGTTGATTACTTTCAGATAAGATTCGCAAAGGCTTTCGGTGAAGAGGAAGAGTTGATATTTTAGGCTTTGTAGGCCATACTGTCTCTTTTGCAACAGTTCAGTTAGTTCTGCTGTTGGAAGCAAGTTAGCGATAGCAGATGAACACAGCTGTGTTCCAATAAAACTTTACTTATAAAAACAGCTGGCAGATCAGACTTGGCCAGTGAGCCATAGTTCATCAAGTCCAAGTTTAGATTATGTTTATTACATGAATAGTATTTCTGTGTACAGAAAAATAACCTCTCCTCTTAACCATGTGATTCAATAAGCTATCACCTCTGAGGTTTCGTTTAGAATATTTATGCTTTGGTCGTATCATTTGTGACCTAGCAGTAATCTCCGCAGAGATGATCCAGTCCCTGTGTCACCTGAGTGGTGACCACTGACCTTCCCAACAGCGCAATCATACATCTGTCTATGTGGGAGGGACAGGGTCACAGCTGACTTATCACATTAAGGTTCAGTGGCCTCCACGTATCTCCTGAGCAACCCCAGTTGCAGAGGGGCCTTGTCGCAATGCTTGTGGCCACCACTGTGCTATGCTGTGGGGGAGGAAAGGCCTGGAAGCAATGAGCACTGAGGAAAAGGCTCGGTCCTGTGGGATAGATACCATCTCTCACATGCAGAGGGGAAAGCTCAGGGGTCCAAAAGCAGCTTAGCCACGGGACTTCACCTGGGTGTGACAGGGGACCCAGAGCACCCCTCAGAGGTGAGGCCTGTGCAGCACCAACCCTGAAAGCCCCAAGAAGCTGTGCTGAGTGCTTCTGGCTCCTCCAGACCAGCACAGTGGCCTTTCCTGGGCCCAGGGACAACACCACTGTCACAGGGAGAGAACTGGTTGTACATGTGATTCATGGTAATTCACAAAGTGCTGACGCTCCCGCCGTCAAGATTTCTCTAGGCAGTGAGGTCAGGCCAGGACGCACGGGCAGTGGGGCTCAGTATGAAGTGATGGTTTGCATTCCTCTTTTCAACCCGGCAGTGAGGACAGCAGCAAGGCCAACATGCTTCACCCGGAA